TATATACACACACACACACATACATACATATATATATATACATATACATATATATATAAGTGTTATCTTCCCTCCAAAACTGGCATATTAAATGGATATTAAAACACTTTAAAACTTACACCTCATGAGTTCTTACGTGTTGGGATCCTTCGGGAAACGGTGGAAGGCCAGGTGCGGGGTGTTCCACTGATAGTTGTTGCAGTTAATTGCACTACACTGTTTTCTTTTACTTTTTTTCTCCTCTCTCCTTGACATCTTGCATGTTGTCTGGGCGCAACAGTCCAAGCTCAACAGTCCAAAATGGCGGCAGCGCCCCTAGTGGCTGTTGGCAAAAATTCAACGGCGCTTCGCCTCTTGGTATCCATGCTCTTTGTATAAACTGCTCGTTCTAAGGTAATGAAAACACAGTTCCTATTTTCAGGTCACAACACACGACAGAAAACACACTTATTATATTCAGTTCAATTTCTGCCAATATATCACCCTAAATCCTACACACTGGACCTTTAAGTAGCATATTTTTTTTTTACACTGCAGTACTACAACTTTTACTTAAGTATCTGAAAACTTCTTTTGCCACTAAAAACAATATTAATCATGACACTACCAGCTGACTGCTAATATCAATATTTACTATTAGTGTTTCTTTTCTTAAAGGAAACCAGAAAAGAAATAAAAAAGAATATAAACTACTGCCGATACATTATTTTGATTATGTTTTACTCGTACATAATTGTTGTTTTCTTGTTGTTCGTCTCTATCGTATTTTTGTGTATGTTCCCCAGTTATGAACAACTTTGTATGTATATGCTGTTAATGTAGCTTTGTTCTTTAAATAAAGAATATTTAAAAAAGAAAAGAAAGAAAACGGAAATGATGTACAATTCAACGATAGGCGAATGTTTTCAACACTTGGGTCAACAGAGGAGGGCGGGGTTTACTCGTTCCATGCTTCCAGACTCCCGTTAGACTCCACGGAGGATCTTCCCTTACCGGCCGCGTCACAAAACGAGCTCTCGGTCATTATCGGTGGGAGGAGTCATAGTTGTTGTCTGTTTTTGCCAACCGAAACTAACAGCCTAAAACCGAAACAAGAACACTTAAATATAACACAACTCAGAAACATTGACGAGCGAATTAAGTCACAGCAACAATGTCTTCGCTCAGCAGTAAATCAGCGCAGGAGATCAGCGAGCTGCTGGATGAGTACGGGATAAAGCACGGGCCTGTGGTCGGTGAGTGGATCTCACACTCAACGGTTATTTTGCGCCCGTTTTTGAACCAACGTTCACACCACATAACTTCACACAGGCCTCCCCTCTAACTGTGTGAAGTTACTGACTTTACTCCTAATGTACTACTTAAATCTTTATGGTTTTCTGTGTACACGTGTTCATAATGTGGGATTGTGTTGTTCCCCAGACTCCACCAGAAGTCTGTATGAGAGGAAGCTGAAAGAGGCCATGGCCAAAGGGAAAAGAGCGAAACCATCATCTGACAAAACTTTCTACAGAGAAGAGGGTAACTGTCATTTGTTCTTTTATCTAACGTCTTCAGTCTAAATAGCATTTAACTGTAAAGCTTCACTGTGATAAATGTGGTTCACATTGCACCAGTCTAAAGTATGGTCAAGACTGAAAACACATATGTCAACATATTCTGACTTTGAGTCCTCCTCTTTAACCTTAATGGCGCCTACTGGTTTAAGAAATATAAACATACTACATTTCCCATAATCCATCTACCACAGGTGCAAGTGTCAAGCCAAATGTCATAATACCAAAGTTATTTCCTCAGACTATCGAGCCACATAAGACATTATATATTACTCCTTACTCCTTGTGATGTGGAAATGTAGGCTATCTTAATGTGTAAAATGTATTGAGTATCCCTTTTAAAGACATTAACAGTTTTAAAATCATATATATATAACAGTGAAAAGTCAAGTAAAAATCTACATTTATAACTGTAATATTTAGCCTTTTATAAATGGACCTGCACTTGTATAGTGCCTTTCTAGTCATCCGACTACTCAAAGCGCTTTTTACACTATGAATCACATTCACCCATTCACACACTGGTGGCCGAGGCTACTCAGTTTTTTAGACACTCACAAACCGTTGGAAGAACCATCGGGGCAATCTGGGGCTCAGTGTCTTACTCGACATGTAGGCTGGAGGAGCCAGGGACCAAACCGCCATTTTCTGATTGATTGACAACCTGCTCTGCCACTGAGCCACAGTAACTGTACTGTTAAGAAATTAATTCTTAAGTGTCATAAACTGGCAGTGGCTTAGTGAATGTGAAAAGTAGGGAGTCCACACAAAAGGTTACACTAAAATGTGTCTTAAATAAACAATGGAATGTGTAGGTAAGCAATGAATGCCATGCATGGGTGTGTTAGGTGTGCTGTGGAGGTGTTGAAGGTGCAAAACCAAAAAGCAATGATGCAAGGTGGATGTCAGCTGTAGAAAGGGAGAGACTGAGTGAAAACATTAGGACGCTTTTATAGCCTGTAAGGCCCAGGTGAGCTTGATCAAGGCAACGACCCTCTTATTTCAGTAAACTGCCTGGTGAGGTTGGCTGGAACATCCTCCCAGGCAGTGGGAGGGGCGTCACATAAAGGTTTATCAAATGATCATATCAGATACATAAAGCCCAGCAAAACAACTGGAAACATCTGTGCTGCTATTGTGTTTATATTAATATGTTGATCAGGTGGTTCGCCCCCAACCGGATGGGTTCTTAATTGTATGAATCAGCCTCTGCCTTTATTAAAGGAGGACGATACATACACAATACACTTGCACTGACATTTAGCGTCATGTTTGTGTTTTCATTTCAGAGGAGGAAGTCACTTATGTTTACAGGTCACCTGTAAGTATCTCTGTCAACATTTTTTTGTTTACTCGCCTAGTTAATAAGAAATGAAAATACATGTATGATGCATAATGATGGTAAAAATGGCCTTTTATGTCTCAACTACAATTTGTTTACAAACATTGTATTGACAGTGGGAAAACAAACAGATCCATCTAAAAATCTGTCATTATTATTGTCCCTGAAATTAGAAATCAGTGCATCTCTATCATTGTCAAATGTCATTTAAGTTCACTGCTGCTGTGAGCTCCTAACCTTTAGTTTGAATGGTCAGTGTCTGATAGATTTTGTAAAACATAATCAAGTTAATTAAATGGGGGCGGCACGGTGGTGTGGTGGTTAGCACTCTCGCCTCACAGCAAGAGGGTTGCCGGTTCGATCCCAGGCGTGGGAGCCCTTCTGTGCGGAGTTTGCATGTTCTCCCCGTGTCAGCGTGGGTTCTCTCCGGGCACTCCGGCTTCCTCCCACAGTCCAAAGACATGCAGATTGGGGACTAGGTTAATTGATAACTCTAAATTGTCCGTAGGTGTGAATGTGAGCGTGAATGGTTGTTTGTCTCTATGTGTCAGCCCTGTGATAGTCTGGCGACCTGTCCAGGTTGTACCCTGCCTCTCGCCCGATGTCAGCTGGGATAGGCTCCAGCCCCCCCGCGACCCTCAAGAGGATGAAGCGGTTAGAAGATGAATGAATGAATGAATGAAGTTAATTAAATGTATTTAATACACAGCTTTGCTGAATACTCAATTATGACTGGCCAGTTTCTATGGTCTGTTATTTCTTAACAGCAGACCGCTACTGTGGAAGCAGTTATGATCATAGATGCTTGTGTCAAATTGATTCTGTTGAAGCAGCTGTGTAATAAGCAGGATCACATTCAGCAAGCGGGTCATTATTGTGTAATAAACCCTGACAGGGTGAAGTTTCTCGTCGGGGGCATGCATCACCCTCGAGATAATGACCCACTCGCTGTACGTTATCCCCTACATTGTATATCTATGAAATAGGACTCATTGTTTTCTAATCTGATAGAGGAGGGCGTCCCTTTGCAGGGTCAGAGATACACCCATTAAATATGATGTTAATTAAATGCAGCCACAGTCAAAGAAGTGAGGCTTATAGGTATGGATTGTTTATATCAGTGGTCTTGTTAAACATCACATCACTGCTTCTGATTTTGCAGGTAAGGAGTGAGGGTGCGGGAGACAGGTCAGTTTTTTTCCCCAAATCCTCTATTGTCAGCTCCAAACATTTATTGTCTTTCTTCTATTTCAGTTTCATCAACATAGCAAATACAAATGAATCTAATATAGTCATTTATTTTCTCTAATCCATCTAGTGTGTCTTACATGAGGTCCAGACCAGAGTGGGGCGAGAGGGAATTTGAGCACGAGTAAGTTATAATTATATAAATCTGTGCAGTTGTTGTCTCAGTTGTTGAGTGTACACATCTGTACTGTTATATGTCACTCTCTACAGGACGTCCTACTCAGGCTACTCAAGGTCAAAGCCTGAATACAGAGGACGGGAATTTGAACAAGAGTAAGTTATAATTATATAAATCTGTGCAGTAGTTGTTGACTCAGTTGGTGAGGAGTGTAAACATATGTACTGTTTTCTGTCACTCTCCACAGGACGTCCTACTCAACCTACTCAAGGTCAAAGCCTGAATACAGAGGACGGGAATATGTTGACGAGTAAGTGTCTTTAAATGAAGTCATATAGTGTCAGATGGTATCAGCTAATCAGTATATTCAGGTTAAACTTAATTGTTGTGTCACCTTTCTGACTTTACTTTAGTGCTTTTTATTTCCATTTCATGCTATTTCATGCTTCTAAGTAAAGGCTCTAAATACACCACTGATAAAGTGTTTAGTCCATAAAATGTCCAGCACAAGTTTTCTAGAGCCCAAGGTGACAACTTCTTGTTTTGTCTGACCAGCAGTCCGGAACAGAAGATATTAATTTACAGTTCATTAATTCAGAGCAGACTGGGCTCTTCAGGATGAGCTCAGACAGTGTTTCAGACAGAGGTGCTGCAGCCACGGGCAGTATAAGAAAAATAACAACATAATTAACAAAAAAAAACAAAAAACAAAAAAACAATTTAAATTAAAAAAAAAAAAAAAACAGTTAATTTGCTGGATCTGCCTCAGTAATTCTCTTATTGGTTAGTTACGAGACATGTGACCCATAACAAGGAAGTGTAACCAGGAAAGGCTGTTGTTGTGAAGCTGTTGAGGTGTAGAGAATATTAGAGACAATATTTGTCTCCATCCTGCTGTGTACTCTTAATATGAGTGAGCCAACCACCACACAGTGAACTCTCATATTACACTAATAGGACCTGACACTGATTGGCCCAAAGGGGGCAGCACCGCAGTTTGTCACCTCATAAATGCTTAACTAACATTACAGTCGTGGAACCAACAATAGTGACACCAGACTTACAAGTCAAAATGAGCTCACATGTAGTGCTTCTTTGTGATGGAGAATTTTAACTACATACTGACGCATTTAATTCCCTTTCAGGCCCCACATGTACGACACGCCCTCCACTTACAGAAGCTCCTACGTGAACTCACCACCCATGAAATCTAAAGATCCTCCTCCAAAGAAGGCACCAGAGTCGTCACGTCTCATCCCACTGTGGGTTCAGTTTGTGTTCTTCCTCGCTGTGGCCGTGTTACTCTACTTAGTTTTTTCCAATATGGAGACAAATGAATCCCTCAAAGGAATAGAATGATCTTTTTTTTTTTGTTAATTCGTGGATTTTACGGGGATGTTACACTCCATTGTGCATTTTAATTGGATGAATGTATTTTGGTCAATGCCTTTATTTTAGACATTGCTGAAATTGGGGTGTATGCAATAATTTTATGCTTTATAATTGCAGTTTGTTTGCCTGCTTATGTTTATAGGTGAAATTTTTCACCTAGTTTCACTACAGCACTGCTATTAGAATAGACAAGGATGTCATATTTAGAAAGATACATTTCGATGTGGACATACAGCATCACAAACTGCACACTAAATGCCATTGTACTGTGCTGAGCCTCAGCCAGTGATATCTCCTGTAAGCCTCAGCAGGTCACAGTGAATCTATCAGCGTGGGAACATCAAACTTTTTATCCACATCATAGAATTCTTAACAGGAAATATCCTGCACATCTTTTACATCAAAATTGGGCAACACAAATCTCTCATTAGATTTAACAGACCACTGTTTAATTTTAGATTCCACAAGAATTTAAGCAGCTTGTCTTCTTCTGACACTAAAAGACGTAAGAGAATATGTCCATATTTCAAACCTGAACACCTAGACTCATGTCACAGTGTATTAATCAGTCTGTTCATTATTAAATTAATTGCTCAACATCTATTTAGCGCCCCAAAGTTTTCCTTTTTTTCTGCGTTGATAATAAGGGTGCCTAGCGGTCTATTATCCTGTGTATATTGTCAGTATGAAGAGTGACCAACTCCTTGTGGTTAATTTAATCTTAGGGTACAACAATGCTTCCTTTTGTCAGTTATAAGGAATAATTACAATGAAGTACAGCTGGGACTGTTTTCAGACCAGCTGTCACATAAGTGCCTCAGTGGTTTTGTAGGAATACTGAATGTTTTTTCAGTGTTTCATAAGTAGTTGGGGAAACGTTTTATCTTGGTTACAAATATCAGATTGAACTGTTTATACGAGCTGTGGTGCCACGTTTGTGCTTTGTTTCAGTGTATATCACACATTTGTACTACATAATCCAACTTTCATATCCTGTAGCATTCAATGTGATGTGTTTTGTATCGCTGTTACATAATTCAAACCATTAAAGAGCTTGTATATGTAAACATTTGAAGCGCCAGGTGATTAATTCAAGAGCAATAATACAATTTGAATGTTAAATCTACAGTAATACTTTTAGATTGTGAAACAAAACTCAGTGAACCCAGACGCTCCAACAACAGCAGCATTTTAATCAACTACAGCTTCTATTTACCAACGTTAAGTGCAGTAATGTACATAATGTAAATGACATAAGATGCATAGTAAGGTTAGACTTAAAATACAAAAACATCTAATCCTTTAAGGATCGTTGATCTGTAGAAGCAAGTACATAATAAGCTAGTGGAGCCTGTCGTTAGTGTTAACTGGTAATAAATACAAAACAATGTTTTTAAATTGCATTTACACAGACCTGAGGGACCCAAGTCATAGTTTCCCTACTTTGATTTTCAGTAGCAGTTTTCCACTTCATATATCTGGTGTCATGGCAGTAGCCAAGTCTGGGTGACTCTGAGGTCTAGCTGGAACCAGTACAGGCTTTGAACTGGAAATAGATTCTACTGTCAGTCTTCTGTGGCTCTCAGCTCACATCTCACCATAATATCACATCTGTTATTTCCCACCAGTTACACTAGCCTTAAGTTCAGTGTGATGTTGGTCAACGTTAAGAGTCCAGTAAAAACTGCCTCGTTCAAACACAAACTGAACTGAGTCTGGGTGGTGCCTCTTTCCAAAGGTGTGGCAGATGACCGACCAAGCTGTCCTGCAGACTGAATCCACGTTGGACGCAGTGTGAGCCCTCTGACTGTCCACACACTTGTGATTCTGCTTGAAAGATGAAACAAAAGGCCTCAATTTAATTCACAAGTGTGGCATCATTAATAATATGAACACATTAAAAATAAAATATTAGTGTCTATAAAAAGTATTCACTCCTCCTCAGAAGTTTTCATGTTTTCTTCTTTCTTAATTCGATTTAATGTGGCTTTTTGACACTAGTTAACAAAAAAAATAATCACCCTTTAATGTAATTTAATGTCAACATGGATTTTATTTTACGAAATAAAATACAGTTAGTATAAAGAGTGAAATTTTGCATGAGGAGGAAGGTTGAGGTGATGGATGGGTCAAACAAACACACGACTTTACCATTGAAGACCAGTGTTCATGAGTTCATGAGTTATTCCTCAGCATGTCGCCACCATGTTTCTTTTCCTGAACCTAACCTATGTAACTTCACATTAAGCATATAATGTGACAACACCATTCATGGGGCACAATTTGTTAGATATACCACTAACCGTTGTATGAGGATTCTCTGCAAACACTGGCGTGGCCTTGTGGAAGAAACGAGCTATGTAACATAACATTAAACTACATCGATATAAATTGTATTGTCTCATCCTGTATCTTGTTTAAAAAAATATCGATATACCTTAAAAAGTCAATATACCGTCCAGCTCTGAGTCCAAAGGAACAAGAAAATATTAAATCACTTTTGATTTATTGTCGTAACACAAACATGAAGAAAACATGAAACCTCCAGGGAGGGTAGACACTGTATGTTCAAAAATCATAACCTTCGATACCTTGAGTGATCTGTTGCCTGCATACCCCGTCATAGCTTGTTAATCGATAAGGCAACATAAGTGTTGTCCACACCTGTAGGCAGAAGCACATCTGTTACTCTCTGTCCTTATACAGTATAGGATGTTTTCTAGGCTCAAAGGCCTCTGATGGAAAAAAGGCACTTACAGGTTCTGGTCTCTCGCTCCAGTTCAGTGGGCTTCTTCTCCTTGTTACACAGCACTTTGGCCACAATGATTATAACGATGACAGCTATGACAAATGTCACGCCGGACACAAGCCAGCTGATCACCATCGGACTCAGTACTGGATCTGGGTCTGAGGGTGAGAGGAGTTACCGGAAGGTTACATACAGGATGGGTTTTATAGATGGGATTTCGGCAGAAGAAAACACCAAAAACTGTCACAAATATCTACATCGAATTTAATTCAATATTACTGTCAGTGTCACCTCTGATGGCTATAGGCAGGGGCTGGCTTTCTCTGGAGACAAAGGTGCGTCCACCCAGCTGGACCCGATACAGGCAGTAGTAGTAGCCCTCGTTGGAGCTCTGGGCGTTGGAAAAGGTGAACGTGACGGACGGGGTGAGGGCAGGCAAGGTCTGGCGCACTGTGCCGTTGGAGCGGATCAGACGCAGCTGGAAGGAACCTCCAGGGTACTGCTGCGGGGTGGAGCAGGTGATGTTGAAATTGTGGCCTTTAATGACGGAACCAGCCGGGGCCTCGGTGGACGTGTTGTACCAGTGCTGGGGAGTCAGTAGTTCCACTGTGTGATCAGTCAAAAAGGAATTAAATAGGTTAATACAGAGGTTTGATCTGGCTGTAAGAAGATACACCTCTCTTGAAAAGATGTGGGCCTACAATTTTCTTCTAACCAAAATGTTCTAAAATAAAATGGCATTTTCAGTCTAGATTTTTGCAAATTCATAATTGGTGAGAGTCATCTTAAAAACCTAGAAAAATTAGTACATCAGATATTAAAATAGTTATATGCAAGATAGCTACAATGAAACAAAGAATAAAAATACAGAGCAGTGATAAAAAATAAAAATGTGTGACAAAATAAGCTAAACTCAAAGGCCCACTTAGCTATCTGGCACTGTCAACTGTATCTCACAGTCTTCCTCAGTAAATGGAGCTGATTGAATGAATTTTGCTCAGATTAGGCAGTTTTCCAATTTAAAATTCCGTAACTTTCCAAGTCAGATTTCTAAAGTAGACTTTTTTCAGACCATATTTGACATTTGAGTACAAATGTGGCTGTTCAGTCCCCACCCCTACACAGAATGTTGTATGATGTCTCTGTCAAACATCTTTGCCCAAAGAGGGAGTTAAGTAACCGGTGCTACGTATGCTTGTTTTATTTTCCCTTAACTTCTTGGATAAATAGTATTATATTGTTGTTCCCTCCATATTTTTTAGTTCATTCATTCATTCATTTTCCGTAACTGCTTATCCTGTAAGGGGTTGCGGGGGTGCTGGAGCCTGGTCACCAGACTATCACAGGGCTGACGCTAAATCAGCACACACCCATTAGATTAAGTTTGACAGATAATGAAAAGTCTTCTATAGATTGCACAACAAAACAATGAGCTACGTGAATGGGCACTGATGCAAAACATGTATTAGACAATGCAGTTATGACTCACCAACAGTAATGTTGATGGAGTTACTGGGTGGAGAGCTGAGCAGCTGAGAAGGAAAGCCACTCTTAATCCTATACCGACAACTGTAGCTGCCCTGGTGGAAAGTCTCTATGTCAGACAGTGTCAGCTCCACTCTGGTCAGTGTTTGGTCCGCTCTCTGTGTAACCAGCGGCGTGGACACTCCATGCTTGTACAGGTGGAAGTCACTGAGGTGGTGACCCAGCAGAGCCCTGCAGCCGAAGCGAACAGCCTCGCCAGGAGAGAACACAGTGTGAGGTGACAGGAGGGTGAGGGTGGGCATTAAAAGGGTACCTGTGGGCAAAAAATGTGAAAGATATAGTGAAGTCATGAAATGTGAATAAGGCGGTGGCAGGTATCTGTTTCCTGCTAAAACATCTGCCCCAGGTAATATCTGTCTATTCCAGGTACGTCTCTAGATTATCATACTTGGGATATACAGTGTCAAGGTTACATTACAAAGTATTTAATGTTTATATGTACCACATAAAATATTATATACTTGAGTATCTTGAATTTATATGCATGTATGACTAACTGTTCAATGACCAGAATAACCTCTATGAATCAACCCAGCGGAAATCACCCAGTCAACCATCTGGCACAGCAGTGTCTCACCTGAGCATTTCACCCCTGCATCGTTCTCATGGGAGCAGTAGGCGTTACTGTGGAGGACAACAGCACAGCGTGTCAAACTGGACTCATGTCCGGTACACTGGACATGTCGCAGCCAGATCTCTCCACTGCCTGGACCATATACTGCACCATGTAGGGCAGATTCAGCTAAGCCACAGCCCAGCTCCAGGCACACCACATGAGCCTCCCGGAGGTCCCAGCCATGATCGCAAACAGTCCCCCACTGGTCATGGCGGAGCACCTCAACTCTGCCTGAACACTTGTTCTCCCCGTCCACTAGTCTGACTCCACCTGTGGATAAAAGAAAAATACTTAGACAAAAGGAAGTGTGGGAACAGCTATGGAAGCAGCAGCAGGTTTAAATCAATACCTGGCTTACCAAAAGCAGCAACTCCATCCCAGAGAGCACCTAACAGGCCTGTGAGGAAAGTACAAAGATGGAATTATTATCAGGCAGATTTGAATCTACTCAAAATGTCAACAATAGCAGCTACTTGCACTCAGCTGCGTGTTTATTAAGTAGACATAACACTATTGTCTAAATCAACAGTCATGCAGTTACATAATATTTATTTAACTGACACTTTGATCCAAAGCAACTTACAATAAGTTCATTCAACCATGTGGGTGCTGACTTACTTCAACTTTTTTTTTAATTATTTCTATTTATATATTTTTTGTTTGCATGTTTTGAGAGTTTTTTCAGTCACTGATTTAGTTTTCAGAGAATACTACACTGTTGTCTTTGTTAGGCACCGAAGACAGTCCCAGTATTCATCAGTATTTGTACAGACAGTTACTTATTATTAATCCAAAGACGACACAAGTGGTTATTTTGGTCTTCCAGTGAACTTTTATCCTCCACCAGTTACTGCCCATAACAACAAGTGTCCTCCTAGATATACTTGGGCATCTATGTGGATGCTGCTCTGTCCTGGAGTGCACATATAGATCACATTTGTAATAAGGTACAAGGCATTTATTTTCCTAGAAGACTAGGTTCATTTAGAGCAAATAAACAGATCCTGTTATTGTTTTTCCAATCTATAATACAGAGTGTTATGCAGTATGGAATCAGTGCATGGTACAGTTGTTTCTCTGTTCAGCTTTAAGCTAGACTGCTGCGTAGTTGCTCAAAAACGGTTGGTCAAGCACTTGACTGCATATACTAACAGAATGT